GCTCATCGGATGCTTTGATTTTCGCAAAGAGAGTAGAGTGCATATTAAAATGTCCCAGCTACAGCTTAAATATGGCCTTAACAGCGGCACTTGTACTTTTCGAAGGAATTCTAGGTGGGCGCTTCACATTCAACTGAATGTTTGCTTTATTTCGCTGATCGGGATTTTTACTACGATGAGAGAGAAGCTCTTCTTCCCGTCATTGTGTTGTAATGATAATCTTTGCGTTTGATGTATATAGCACTTTATCACATCATCAAAATGTCTCACAGGATTTATTGTAAAGTGTTGTGATTGTATTTGAAGGCACCGCTGCAGTGAATTTGCACACACCAGTGATCCACTAACAGCCAGAAGATGAAGGGCTGAATTTTTTTGGCTGGGGGATTGTTGTCCAGGACACCAGAAGAAACTCCCTTCACTTTTCAAATGGTACCATATTTTTGTCTACCTGAACAGGCAGACAGGACATTGGTTTAATTTCTCCAAAGGTCGGCACCTCTAACAATGCAGCGTTCCCCATCACTGTGTTGGAGTGTCATCCTAGGCTTTGTTCTCGACATGAGACTTAACCCTTCAATCTTTTGAGAATGTGACCAATTGAATACAGTAACATTAATATGGAGGACATGAAAAGATTTAGAAAGATATCCTAACATGGCTCAAAACAATCTGAAGCAGGAAAGAAAATGTAACCACAAAGACTGGGTAATGCAATGCAGGTGGAGCACAGTTTGCCCGTGCCTTCTGGTAACCATGTTCTCATTCTGGTACTTGTGGTTATCAGGAAACTAGTTTAAGTACAAACTCCTAACATATTATGTAGATGATGTATAAGATCTCAATCTTAATACTTTATTGTCCAAACAAACTAAATAGGCTTTTGATGAGATCTGAGATATGATTGGAAAACAAAATTGGAACTGAATAGGACTCAATCAGACATGAGTGTGCCTTAAAATATGCTGATACTGGTCTGAACATTGTGTCCACAGCGTTAGCTCTTCTTTCTTTTTCAGATACTGATAAAGTTGTGCATTTCTAGTATTTTCTGTTTTCATAGCTGTTTATGCAATGGTGTCATGTAATAATTTGTTCAGTTTAATAGTTTGTTCAATAGGATGTTCAATTATTGGGTTTAATTTTCATAGCTCTAAATAAAACTGCACCACTGTTAAAATTGGTGTAAATATAAAATAACAGATACCTGCAAGAGATTACCAGGCAGTAATTTATTTGAGCTTTCCAATGATGGGTCATAAACCAGTTGAGGAAAGGTTAAGTGGTTTATTAGTCACTTGGAGCTGCCATTAGATTCACCCTAAAATCATTCATTAATGACGTATTATTTGAAGTGTATGTAGCATAGCATTTCTAATGTGTTTGGGTGATTTTTTGCACCTCTCAATGCCCCTATGTCCTTGGTGTGGGATTGTCACCCAAGATGATTAACTGTTATAACGTCATCACTGCAACTTTATTGAGAAGTAATCTTCAGTTGATCAATGGATCATTTCCTCTGTATGATATTATTTAGCAGATGTCTGAGGATTTGTCACTAATTTCATCCTCTGTTTTCCGTTTAGTAAATGAAGTAACTCTTGTTTTCTGCTCGTCTGATCTGCATCAGTTGCTAACAGTTTTACTGATACTATTTAGCAGTATCTATTCTTGCATGTAGCAGAGTCGAGGAGAGCATTGATGATCGAGATTCCAGAGCAGAAATGTTGACATTCTTCCTTTGGAAATTGCACTGCTATCAATATTTTTTTNCTCTCTCAATAAATGTCATTTAATCTGTCCCCCTCCTATTTACACAGCTGGTGAGATCTGAGGTTATTAACAGATATTGAGTTTAGCTGTTATTTAGACCTTATGAAAACCAATAATAACCGCAGACTTTATTCTGATTTACATACCGCTGGCAATATAACTTTCATATTTTTTTCCCACTTATTCCAAACCCATTCAGTAAAATTGTTAAATTGTTTAATGTTAAAATCTTTCACATGTGTCAAGTAAAACCAAGTAAAATAGTATTTAACTGATTTAGTGCAATTTAATAATGGAAGTCTGCAGGACACCACTGGATACTGTAGGTTGGTTGATGATATGTGGCCCATTCAGGGTCTCAGGCTAGTAAACCGCAATACCCTGTGGTATTCCAAATCTGAGATGAAAATAAGATTTTCTTTAAGACGTTCCTGCAGTTTCATTGAGTTGTGCCAAGTCCAGATTCGCTATTATCTGCATTGTTTGCTTTATGCATAATGGGCGTTTCCATTTAATTGGGATTGTCGGCTCTGTATTAAGTGCCAACAAAGGAAACCTTAAAAGACAGTGCCTCTTAACCACATAATAATGGCTGTTAATAAATGTCAATGTTGTAGATTTACATCAGGTCAGATCGCAATTGAGAGAAAAATAGGCTAATTTCTGTTGATCACAGCCAGAGTAGGGGGGGGGCAGAAACCTAGCAGTGACCTCTGCCTCATATACTGCAGTAGATGTTGAGAATTGTGTTTGAGATAAGATGATTTGCTCTTGGTTTTTTTTCCTACTTCCACTACCATTCAGTCATGTAGCAATTGGATAAAGGCTCTTTGGTTTTCAACGTGCCCAGGATATATAACGTGCTGCCATCAAATTGGAGCAGGTGGTGGAGGCAGACACAAGTCAATATGAGTTTAATGTGTGCACCTCTCAACAGCACTGTTTCTTTGATTCCTGCTGTTCATAAGCCAACATGAGGTTACACTGCCATCCCATTCTGTTGGACTCTGGATGTGTAAATTGTTGTAGACTCAGTAAATTGGAGACATGATGATAAAATGTGTGCAATGTAGCAGTTAGTGTGGATTGGGGAGAGAGAGACAAGATAGCCATAGCGATCCCTCACAATAGTTTGGCTCGGGTCCATCTATTTTTGTTTGATTTATTTTCCACAATTGGAAGTGCATTTCAGTTTGATTCGTAGATTCGTACATCAAAAGAATTGGGGTGTTTTTTTTCATTCAGAACTTCTTTGCATTTGCCAAACTAATTTGTGTACAGTGTTTTCTGTGCAGCAGTTGTGCTATAGCGGCTGTGTAGTGAATGCTTATGTAAATCTCTTCTATTGCGAGTCGGAAGGAGATTAATTTCACATGCAGAAAAGGCTTGTATGTTGAGTTAAATGATTGACAGAACTGGCAGCAGGCTATTTTTGAATATATGTGAGCTGAAGTTAAACAGATCAACTCTGAATGAACTTGCTTTCAAGACATTTTTGGCAGCAGTCTGGTTTCCTGACTTGAATTCAGGGGCTTTCATCATTTTTTCAGATTTAAATCAGCTGAGACTATATTAAGACCATATTCCCACCACACAATAAAAACATTTGGACAAAGGGCCTTCCGATTCAACAACACCTCAATTGAACTGAAAGCTGCTTTCTGTCCGCTGTTTATAGAATTTGTAATGTTTATGAATCAAGGCACGTACAATGACATCAGTGTTAGGCAGGCAAAGGATCAGCAGTGTTTATCAGTGGACAGAAAAAAATTATGCCATCTAAAAGTGAGTTTGACCTTTATTATGACTAACGTTTTTAATGTTTATTTCACTTTCCAACTGAAAAAAGTGTAACACTTTTAATGCCCACCAAGACATCCACAAGGAGCAATGAACCTGCTCAACTACTAAAGGTTACTTCAATCTGTTTGTAATAAGATGTAGGATTAGAGATTATGCTTCTAGAGATGCCAAGACCCACATAAAAAAGTACTTGTACTGTTTAATTTTTCACGTGATTTTCAACTACTTTATGAGCAGAAGGGTTAGAGCACTTACCTCGCAAACAAGAAGACCTGGATTCGATTCCCAGGCAGGAAAGAAACGTTGGGCAAGTTTCCTTACTACACACGCCTCTGTTTACCTAGCAGTAATTAGGAATTCGGTTGTTAGTTGATTAGTGGATCGCTTTTCTGGGAGTAATAATCCCTGGAAAAATAATGATTTGGTCAATCCACAATTGTTTGTACATTTTGTGTACAGTGTAAAGTTCATTCAGAGTTGATCTGTTTAACTTCAGCTCACATATATTCAAAAATAGCCTGCTGCCAGTTCTGTCAATCATTTAACTCAACATACAAGCCTTTTCTGCATGTGAAATTAATCTCCTTCCGACTCGCAATAGAAGAGATTTACATAAGCATTCACTACACAGCCGCTATAGCACAACTGCTGCATAGAAAACACTGTACAAAAAAAATATACCTACCTGCCCGTACCCTCCGTTCCTCTGGCTCCGGTCTGCTCCACGTCCCCCGCCCCAACCGCCCTACTATCGGTGGTCGGGCCTTCAGCCTCTCAGCCCCGAGGCTCTGGAACTCCATCCCCCAGTGCCTTCGCCTTGCTTCCTCCCTTTCCTCCTTCAAGGCCGGTCTCAAAACCTTTCTCTTTGACCGTGCCTTCAGCTCCCCTCTCGACTCTCTTCCTCCTCCTCGCTCCCTCCCTTCCCTCCCCTCACCCTGACCATTTCCCCCTCCTCTCTCCCTCCCTTCCCTCCCCTCACCCTGACCATTTCCCCCCTGCTCGGGTCATGACCCAACTGTGCAGCGCCTTGGGACGTCCTCCTGACGTGAAAGGCGCTCTATAAATGGAATCTTGTTGTTGTTGTTGTTGTTTGTGGAACACTGCCGCATTTCACCCACAAAATATAGTCAATTCACTTTGCGAAATATTCTGTGAAGCGCTTTGAGATGTCTTGAAGACGTGATAAGGCGCTATATCAAATGCAAGGATTATATGATATCACAAGGGGCATCCCCTCATGAAAGGCTATAGGTATGACATGTAAGAATCGTAGGAGCCAAATTCTAATGAGAGAGGTATGAAGGGAAGGCCGTGCAGGGGTATCTATTCCGTATCTTTATATATTCTGCATGTTTATTTTAAATTTTAGGGATATATAGTGATGCACCAATTGAAAAATTGTTCAAAAAGTTGTTTCTTTCTAGAATATTGACATCACAAATTTCAGCAGCAGTTGGAATGATGGGCTTGCTTTCTGCGCTCTGCTTCACACGTACCTTCCAGCACATATTCCCTACCAGGAGCTGAACAGCCAGGACAAGGTAAACCAATCCGCTCTCTACCAAGTGAGAGAGTAAATGTATTGATTGAAATACCTGTTTTTACTCCTGTGAATACCCAATACACCAGGCAGATTTCAAACTTGTGGAATAAAAAGAAAAATCGAAAATATTAGAAATGAACCTCAAGTCAATGTGTGAATGAGAGACTGTTTCAGATTCTAATCAATCTGCTGTGCATTTCTAGCATTTTTTGCTTGCATTTCAAATGTGTTTGTCACTAAGTTAGTTTTCTTTTACACTTCCAATTTTCTCCCTCCTGCTGAAGTGGATTGACTCCCCTGTCTGGATCCACACAGGTTAGGTCTCCTGTTAAATTACATTTTTTCATATATCAGCCCAGACAGTGAGTGTTGGTAGGCTTTTTCACAGTAGCGGGCATCGCATCTGAACCTGTTTCTGTACTTACCATATACAGTCCTACATACTTATATCGACATTGTGGCAACCAAGCAGATATTGTCGATCTAAGTGGGTTTCAGCCTTCAGCCACTCTGCCCCCAACATCTGGAATTCAATCCCCCAGTCACTCCGCCTCACCCCCTCCTTATCCTCCTTCAAGTCCCACCTCAAGACCCTCCTCTTCGCCCATGCCATCGGCCACCTCCCTTCGCCCCCCACCCCCCCCCCCGACCCCAGCTTGGGTCTGAAATGCTGTACACTATCCCGCGCCTTGTGACGTCCTCCTGACGTGAAAGGCGCTATACAAATGTAATCTTGTTGTTTTTGTTCCAATATAAACCGTCAGCCACTGGCAGCCGAGGTACATGCTTGGGAGTTGTGGCACCCTAAGGCTCAAGTGGAAGTGGCTGTATTTTTATTGTTGTGATTATTAAGCAATCTCTTCAGTGGCACTTATTGTAATCCAAATACTTCATATCCATTCATTTCCATGTATTGAGAATGAATGAAGCTTTCACCACACAGTTAAGGCTGGACTATGGGAACTCTCTCCTCGTCGGCCTTCCCGGCACCTCCCTCCACAAGCTGCAGGTCATTCAGAACTCTGCAGCTCGTGTACTGTCCCGCACCAGGCTTCGGGACCACATCACTCCCACCCTCGCTCGCCTCCACTGGCTCCCCATCCCCCAGAGGATTGATTTCAAGATCCTCATCCTCACCTACAAGGCCATCCACGGCCTCGCTCCCTCCTACCTCTCCAACCTACTATCCCCTACCTACCTGCCCGTACCCTCCGTTCCTCTGGCTCCGGTCTGCTCCACGTCCCCCGCCCCAACCGCCCTACTATCGGTGGTCGGGCCTTCAGCCTCTCAGCCCCGAGGCTCTGGAACTCCATCCCCCAGTGCCTTCGCCGCTTCCTCCCTTTCCTCCTTCAAGGCCGGTCTCAAAACCTTTCTCTTTGACCGTGCCTTCAGCTCCCCTCTCGACTCTCTTCCTCCTCCTCGCTCCCTCCCTTCCCTCCCCTCACCCTGACCATTTCCCCCCTCCTCTCTCCCTCCCTTCCCTCCCCTCACCCTGACCATTTCCCCCCTGCTCGGGTCATGACCCAACTGTGCAGCGCCTTGGGACGTCCTCCTGACGTGAAAGGCGCTCTATAAATGGAATCTTGTTGTTGTTGTTGTTAAACATAATTCCACATCCATTCAACAAGTAGTCATTAGTTGTTTAAATATAAGAGTAATTTATATAGATTGTTTAAAATCTTTAATTTGACTGCATTCAAAGAAACCTAATTTCTAAGTGGGTATTTATTTTACAGCGAAGACATTTTTCCCTCGCCTTTCAGGCGGCTGAAAGTGTTGGCATCAAGTCTACATTGGTAAGTCCTTACCATTACATTAGGATTGAATGTTTCGCTCCTAATTCTGAGGCACACCATAAGTCTTGTCATTTCCTCACTACTTATCATTTTGCTCCCTTTTGTTCTGGTACTATATTCTAGGAAGATTTGTAAACAAAAATGTAGTTCCATTCTCTATATTTAAATAGCTTTTGTTTTTTACAGTTTAGATGTTTTATCTGCTGGTCTAAACGTTAGTGAGCAGTGTACTAATAACCACTTCCAAACCCACAATTTAACACAAATTATTTTAAACCACCTTGTTTACTTTATCAGGGTGATCAGTACAATTGAATAGTATTTGTCACATTAATAGTCATTATCAAGGGAATTCCATTCTTTGGGGAACTGTCAATAGCCTTGGGTCTCAGCATTTAGTCTACCAGCAATCCAACAGAAACTCATGAGTTGTGAGCTACTTAGGTAAGTTGTTAGTCACGTATGCATCATAAGGCAGAATCTTCCTTTCTCTTGTAGTTGAATGATGTTAGTCTCCATACAATGATTGTTCAGCCATTTTGTCTAGTAAGAATCTCACAGAACTTTGGGGCAATGAGATGGAGATGAATATATGGAAGATGGAGATAATGGAGGCAGCGACATATCAGGAATTTCATGAGAGAAGTTGTGCAGAATTCTGGCAAAAGGTGTATAGAAGCTGAATGTTACAAGATCATTTTTAAATTGGACAACAAGCTTTTTCAGTCATGTACCTTTGTTCATACGTAAGTCAGCTTTGATTTAGACCTTTAGAATTTGGTTGCATAATTTTAGAATTTGAAAACCTCCACTTTGCTCATAGTCACTACTATCATTTTGCCAACTGTCATGATTGTTCCTTTTCTTGTCTAAGATTGAAACACAAGTGATATTTTCCTATTGACTAATGACTTGTAGGAAATAATTTTATTTTGAAATATGAAGCTTGAAGTTTCAAGGTTAAGGCTTAAGACCAGTGTCTTTAAATTTGATGTGAACAATTTTTGAAAATTCCTAAAATTCAGTCTTCATTCGCCAGCCAATTTTCTGCAATACTTCTTCAAAAGTATTGGAGTCCTGTAGCTCAGTGGTTAGAGCACTCGCTTTGCAAGTGAGAGACCTGAGTTCAATTCCAGGCAGGTCAGGGCGAAACCTTGGGCAAGTTTCCTTACTCCACACAGAGCCTAATAATAATCCCTCCAAAACCAAAAACAATAATAAATTGGTCATTTTCAATCCATATGACTGTTTGTGGGACATTGCTGTGCGCAATTGGCTGCCGCGTTCGCCCACAAATATACAGTCAATTCACTTTACAGTGCGTTCTGTGAAGCGCTTTGGGACGTCCTCTCGACGTGAAAAGCGCTATATCAAAATGCAAGGATTATTATTATTATTATAAAATTGACAATTTAACAATTTTCCAATAAATTTTAAGTCAGTGGTCTTGAGGCCATTTCAGGACCTGATGCAGATCTTTTGGAAATAATTTTCAGTGTTCTTTCTCTCCAGGACATCAATGAGATGGTGAGCACAGAACGACCTGACTGGCAGAGCGTGATGCAGTACGTAACCGCCATTTACAAGTACTTTGAAACTTGACTTTTTCCTTCTCAAAACAGCAGTTTTCAGAGCAGCCTCTAGTCTTGCAAAGAACCACTGTCTCTGCAAATATTCTTGCTCCGCCCTTGCTGTTCCTCCACCCTCACTGAACCCCTGTCTTCCTCAGCAGAGTGTGCTGTACAATCCCAGCACTTTTGAAAGAAGAAATTTCTCTTTTGCTCTCATTTAATAGGACAAATATTAGCTGAGCAACATGAATGCTTTCTTACATGCACCTATAAGTTAGCTGTCTGGTTCTCTGCAGTTTTAACTGTTTGGATCACACAACAGTCAATGACTAATGTTTCAATCACCATTTAATGCTGGGAAAATTAAGTGGCTCAGTCGTTTACATGTTGTCTCTTGACTCGAGTGGATAAAAAACAGAATTTCTGAAGTGGATTGAGAAAGTGAGCTACAATATTTATGGCAGCCTCACTGACGACAACTGGGGAAGGAGGGGGGTGTGGATGTGTGTGGAGAGAATGGATGTGTGTGGAGAGAAGCCATGGGGCCAGTTTCACAAACATCCATTTCTATTGTAGTTTTCAGTTGGCAGAAAAACTTGGGGGAAATTACTTTGACCAATGACTCTGGGAATGTAGTGATGGATTGCACAATTTATCACTGTGTTTGCAATATCTGAACACACTTTTACATTGACTCATACCCTGCTGGAAATACCCAACTTAACATTTGTCTTATCAAATCCATGATTATGATGCAGAAATAAGAAAGATTTTTTTAACCTCAGCTACATTCTTTATAGAAAGACCATTGGTAACATTCGCCTCTGAATCAGAAAGTGTGGGTTTAAGCCCAACCTGTCAGGACTTTCAACTCGCTCTTGGCTGACAATCCAGCACGCACTGTCAGATGCTGTCATTCAGATGAGTCGTTAAACCGAGTTCCATCTATCTGCTTCGATAGACAATAAAGATCGTATGGTACTACTCGTTCAAAACCTGTTTTATTTTAAAGTTGAAGAAGAATCAGGAGTGATGAAGTAAATGGTGTGTCAGGAACTGATGTGCATTTTAGTAACTCACTGGTCCCTGACACATGCTTATATATCCAGCAAATGTTTTTTTAAAGATTTTTTTTCCACATAGTTCTGAACTTATTTGAGGCAAAAAGGTGTGCTTGGCTTTCCTGAGGCTGCAGAATAAAACCCGATATAATCTACAAAATTCACCAATCTACGATCACAAAATAAAACATTTTAAATCAATACATAACTAAAGCACAAAATTATGAATCATTGTTCCTGTCCGTACATCAAATAAATGTGCTCCGTGGAGACCTAAACCACAGCTCAACTGCCTTACGATTTGTTCTTGAGCTTCTGTTATTGTGTTATTTGATAGAAACAGTATTTTAATTTTTGCTGCAATGAGTGACACTGAAATCCTCACTCAAATTCTTTACTATGAACAATATTTTATTAAAAAGTGTTTTATATCTTTAAATCCTAAGTTATGCAGGGTGCCTCAGTCACAGAAGTATAATGTATTTGTGAGCCGGTCACTACATTCTATCTTACAAAAATGATGTTACAAGGTGCCTTTATTTTGTTATAAACATCATGAATCACATGATGACGAAAGCTACAACTCCTGACCTAATGAAGCAAAAGCCTTTCACTGTGAAACTCCGACATGAGCCTGTCCAGGAAATGCTTAAGCTCCTGTGTTCTGTTATACATTAAAGACACAAAGTTTTGTTATACACTAAATACAAAGTCAGCAATGCCTTGTTGGCTGCTACTTTATATACATTTTTAAGTCTTTTGGATCCAAATCTTAGTTCAGTTACTACAACATGGGCTTGGAGACCAGATAAATTAGGTTCTAGACCTTGTGCTTTACTAGATGATCTTATAAAACAAATAAGCAAATTGTTTCTCTCTCCCCCCACTCCCAATGTTTAATTTATTGAGAATTTGAAAAGCTTCCGGTGGTAGCGTTTATATAAATGCAGCAGCTATGGTCACAAACTGTTGCTGAGGGAAGTTCAGTGATAAGAAATCTTGTTTTATATGTGCCAAAAATCTCACATTTCTGTGGATATCTAAGTGAAAAGCCCAAGCCTTGGAAAGTGCATCAATTCAGGGAGAAATGTATAAATGTTAAAATAAAGTTCAACAGAAAAAGGTTAACACTTAGCTATTTATGTGATTTGTCACTGAATAGAGCACTGGTAAGGAAGCACTTTGCCAGTCACTGAGACCAATCACCCCTTTCTGTGGGCAATATTGATGTTGTCAGTTGTTTAAGCTAACCCATGGCCACTGAGTATTGAGTCTCTGGGTCATAATGTACTTTACTTCTTCCACTGCACTCTGCTGCTAGTTTATATACATGGGTATTTAACTCTTCAGAAGCTGCCCCTCAATATGTCGAACTGGGAAAGCTACATGGAATGGGTACATTCAAACTAGCAAGTGCTGGTGAAACCACCTGTGGTGGGGATTTAATTGGTGGTCTATACTCTGATGCTGTGAAAAGCTTAATTAACATCCATGGAGATGCAACAATATCTTTGGGGTGCTCCAGCCTCTAACATGACTATTAATACAGCTGCTTGACATCAACAGGCTCAGTGACCGTGTTTAACCAACATTCTACAAGTGTATATGAAAGGTCATTAAAGGAGCACTGTTTTCATTCAAATGTTTGGCATGCAGTCAATGTGAAGATGCACTATACATCAAAATTCGTTATCACAAAATTGATATATGGTTCTGTCTGCTCTCTACCCTTCCCCTCCCCTCCCCCAGTTAAAAGTGCTCCTTTAAAGCGTGAGGATTTCTATGTAACAGTGTGATGTCTAAAAAATGACTTTACAACACATGCGTTTAATCACAAAGAGTCCTGAACGTTGTATTTGCTCACAGTTACTTTGTAGAAGTGCACTACCCTGTTGACTCAGGAAGATGCTAATGAATAGCTGTGTATAAAGGTCTGACTGAAGATTTCACCATGTTATGACACTATGTAAAGGTGCAGCTCTCATATTTTCGACATAGCCTTATTCCATTGAAGATGCCTAAGCTAGAAGTTGTTATTTGCAGTCTCTATGTTGCACAAATGGTATTTCATAATTCAGTTCAAAGTAAGAATCACAAAGATTAGTCTTGTGCTTTCTGCCTTTAACATCCGTCCATCCATAATAAATGGTGAATATAGTTCATTTAAGTCCACGGTGTGGTTGTATTAGATTTATTTATGCAGGTTCTGTATTACTGTAGAACAGAGCTTTGTAACTGGTATTTCTCCTGCCTCGTCATTACTTATGTTTATTTACATGATATAGTGTGCCTTGTGGGCATAGCATGCGTAGTATAAACAACGTATTTTGTTTATCCCTAGGTTATGTATTATAATTGGCTTCAGCATGAGATGTGTATAAACCTATACATTCAGTTCAGGGCAGAATACAGGTGGGAGCTCCTCTTAAGTATTAATTTCCTTGCATCCGATTGTGGTAAAATTCGCTGAGTTTTTCTGATGGTCGTATCAAACCGAAAGTCACTCACTTTACTAAATAGGTTATTACAAAAAGCACAGTTGTGAGCAACTCTTTCCTGATTGGCTATAGATTCAAATCAATAACTTTATAGTACTATAGAACATGTTGAAGCAACTCATTTAACTGGGAGCAGGATCATTTTATATTTTGTCGACAAATAAAACAGACCATTTAGTGGCCGTTCATCTCTTCCCACAGTGTAAATTAGCAGCACTGTTTTCCTTTACCCCATCACTGTAATGACAAGTAGTTCAAGATCCAAGTCGTACATTTTTTAAACCTATTTTACATTGAGTTGCAATTTAGAGAAATAAATAAGGTGCGCAATGGAACTCAGCTTGATAAGCCATGTAACTGCTCTTATTTGTGGTATTGCTTACTAAATTGCTTTAACTTCTTCTAGAGCAGAGGAATCCACAGGTCAATGAAAATAAAGATTCTCATTAAGCAATCCTACAAAATAGATTAATGTTACTCTGGTTTTCTACAGTACTTATTGAGAAACATTTTTGTCTTGTCGAATGTCACAAGTCAACTAGCGGTCTATATAACCTGTATCTATCAAGAGTATATCGTCTTCAATAGTTTGTACTGCTACCATTTACAATTCTGAAAACTAATTACAGTTGCTCATTAAAATGTTGAGACTATTCCTATTGTTTCTACCCACATGTATGGAGCAACCTCCAGCCAGGCACGGAATGAAATTGACAGCCTAAGCTACACCACTGGAGTACAAAGTGCAAAGCACATCTGAAATAAAAAGAGGAATTGCTGGAAAGCACAACAGGTTGGTTAGCACAGAAAGCTAAGCTGCCCTGAGCACAGCAATGATGCTTATTGATCTGCTGTAAATCTTCCACAATTTCTCATCATTACACATACACAGCATTTGTATTTTTCGTTTCATTCATTTAGTCACATATTTGATTCAAAAATTGTCAGTGTTGCTCCTTCCTAAGAGGGAAATGCTAAACCTTCCCCTTTGTCTATGTACACAAGGAAATGGGAAGTTACTTTGACCTGCTTTTATCTTTGATTGTGTTGCTTGTGTAACAAATGTCTCTCAAAGAAGCTCATTCATTTAAGTGTTTGAGACCAGGGTGATTGAGATATTCTGAAATGGTTATTTGTACAATGTATTTATACCTTATTACCTTTTTGATTTGCAAATATTCCTTTTTTAAGTATGTATACCTGTACATGAAACTGAGAACACTAAAACTTCAGTATAAAGTGAATCATTTTGAAGTATCTCCGTTGTGTGATTATTTGTCTATTTACACATTTTCATTCTTTTTTTGCAATTAATTAGTTCCCTGCAAATTCTTCAATTTTCAGAATGAGTATTTTTTATAGGAAATCCTCAAAAATATTTTCCTTTTCCTTTGTTTGAGAGATGACTATTAGTCTGCATCATTCTAAGTGTCCC